GAAGTTTCATTAATTTTTCACATTGTCAATGCTATTTCCACGAATCGAACTTACTTGCACGTATGTAGGCATATAATTGAACTGAAGATTGGTCAGTTTCATTAATTTTTCACATTGGTAATGCCACATTTGTGAATCGAACTTACTTGCACGTACCTAGCCACATAATTGAACCCGTGATTGGGGAGTTTCATCAAATTTTCACGTTGTCAATGCTATTTTTGCGAATCGAACTTACTTGCACATATGTGGCCACATAATTGAACGGAACATTGTCGAGTTTCATTAATTTTTCACGTCATCAATGCTATTTTTGTTCATCGGAGTTACTTTCAGGTACAAAGCCACAAAATTGAACTGAAGATTGGCGAGTTTGATTTATTTTTCACGTTGTTAATGCAATTTTTGTGAATAGAAGCTACTTTAGCGTATGTAGCCGCTTAATTGAACTGAAGATTGGGCAGTTTCAATAATTTTTCCCGTTGTCAATGCTATTTTTGTGAATCGAACGTACCTGCACGTATGTAGCCACATAATTGAACTGAAGATTCCTTAGTTTCATTAATTTTTTACGTTCTCCATGCTATTTTCGTCAGTCCACGTTAGTTACACGTATGTAGCTACATAACTGAACAGAAGATTGATGAGTCTGATAAAATTTTCCCGTTGTCAATGCTATTTTTGTGAATCAAAGTTACTTGCACGTATGTAGGCACATAATTGAACTCAAGATTCCTGAGTTTCATTAATTTTTTACGTTATCAATGCTATTTTTGTGGCTAGAAGTTAGTTACACGTATGTAGCTACATAATTGAACAGAGGATTGGTGAGTCAGATAAATTTTTCACGTTGTTAATGCTATTTTTGTGAATCGAAGTTACTTGCAAGTACGCAGCCACATAACTGAACTGAAGATTTTTGAGTTTCATTAATTTTTGACATTGTTAATGGGAGATTTGCGAATCGAACGTACTTGCACGTATGTAGTCACATAATCGAACTGAAGATTTTTTAGTTGGATTGATTTTTCACGATGTCAATGCTATTTGTGTCAATCGAAGTTACTTGCACGTATGTAGCGACACAATTGAACTGAACATTAGTCAGCTTCATCCATTTTTCACGCTCCCAATGGTATTTTTCGAATCGACGTTACTCGCACGTATGAAGCCACATAATAGAACTGAAGATTTCTGAGTTTCATTAATTTTTCACGTTGGTAATGGCAGATATGCGAATCGAACGTACTTGCACGTATGTAGTCACATAATTGAACTGAAGATTTATGAGTTGTATTGATTTTTCACGATGTCAATGCTATTTTTGGCAATCGAAGTTACTTGCACGTATGTAGCGACACAATTGAACTGAAGATTAGTCAGATTCATCCATTTTTCGCGTTCTCAATGGCATTTTTCGAATAGAAGTTACTTGCACGTATGTAGCCACATAATAGAACTGAAGATTACTGAGTTTCATTAATTTTTCAGGTTGTTAATGGCAGATTTGCGATTCGAACGTACTTCCACGTATGTAGCCACATAGTTGAACTGAAGATTGGCGAGTGTCATGAATTTTTCACGTTGTTAATTTTATTTTTTTGAATCGAACTTAGTAGCAGGTATGCAGTGACATAATTGAACTCAAGACTATAGACTTTCATTAATTTTTCACATTGACAATGCTATTTTTGTGAATTGTAGTTACAGGCATGTATATAGCCACATAATTGAACTGAAGATTAATGAGTGTCATCAAATTTTCACGTTGTTAATGCTATTTTTGTGAATCGAGCTTACTTGAACGTATATAGCCACATAATTGAACTGAAGATTGGTGAGTTGCATCAATTCTTCACGTTTTCAATGCTATTTTGTGAATCGTGGTTACTTGCACGAATGTAGCCACATAATTGAACTGAAGATTAATGAGTGTCATCAAATTTTCACGTTGTTAATGCTATTTTTGTGAATCGAACTTACTTGCACGTATGTAGCCACATAATTGAACTCGTGATTGGCGAGTTTCATCAATTTTTCACGTTTTTAGTGCTATTTTTGTGGATCGATTTTTTTTGCACGTATATAGCCACATAGTTGAACTCGTGGTTTGCGAGTTTCATCAATTTTTCACGTTGTTGATGCTATTTTGGTGAATCAAAGTTACTTGCAGGTATGTAGCCACATAATTGAACTGAAGATTTCTGAGTTTCATCAATTTTTCACGTTGTGCACGCTATTTTTGTGAATTGGAGTTACTTGCACGTATATAGGCACATAATTGAACTGAAGATTGGTCAGCTTCATTAAGTTTTCACGTTGTCAATGCTATTTTTGTCAATCGAAGTTACTTGCACATATATAGCGACAGAATTGAACTGAAGATTCGTTTTGGTTGTGGTGAGTTCCATGAATTTTACACGTTTTGAATGATATTCTTGTGAATCGTAGTTACTTGCACGTATGTAGACACATAATTGAATTGAAGATTGGTGAGTTCCATCAATTTTTCACGTTTGCAATGCTATTTGTCCGAGTCGAAGTTACTTGCACGTATGTGGCCACATAATTGAACTGAAGATTGGTAATAGATATTCATTGCTAAATAGCCACTTGCTTTTTTATTATCTACATCATATGTTTTAATGCGAGCAACATAATCGTTCGATACAATGATATGACGTAGTTGTTTATTTTGCCAGTTCAGAGTTGAGTTGATATTGTAGTGATTCAGAAAGAACGTTCTTTAAGTTATGATGGAGTAAGCAAGCGGGTGTGAATGCTATAGAAAGCATGCGAGATGGACACCTGAGAGGAAGAGTTAGATATTGCCTCGAGAGAAGCGATAGTTAAGTAACCACTAGAGTTCTTTGTTGTTAAACCCAGGTCTTGAGCGGAGCTGAATACAATGAAAGTGGCTGTATTAGATGATGATGATCATGAAGAAGTGCGCTCTGAGTTTTTGCAATCATTCTTGTTTTGCCATTCCGAAAATTTCAAGCTATATGACATTATGGAAAACAGCATATTGTGTTTTCTTGGAAAGTTCCAGAGTTGTCAAGGCTAACCGAAAAACTAAAATTTGAAACAATAGAAAAAATATAAATGTAGACAACGTTTTGTTTGCTAGAAAATGGGAAAAAATGGAAATTTTCGGTCATTATAGGATCATTATCATCTAATATTACTTAAACTTGATGATGCAACGAGGAAGAATAAAGCATGAATAGTATATCAGACTATTGGACAAACATGAAGATATTACTATATAACCGATGTGGGTGTAGTTATTGAAGAAATTGAGATCCACACCCTTTTCTTGCTGATCAATAATTGATGAAAATAGTACTATTATAATTTGATTTTTTTAATTTTTAATACATTTTAATCGATTAAAATCGACCGATTATTCGGTCTTGACTCGGCTATAATCAATTATTCGGCTTTAATAGGTTTTAATCTAAGATATCGGCAACATGGCATAGACGAATGAGTATGGACTGTTCTCCTATACGCATGTATTAAGGATATGGTTACTACTACCGTTATCATTTGTCGACTCGACGAGTCAGAAAAATAATAAGAAATTGAAATTTGTAAATGAAAACTAAAGAAAAACGTTCTTTAAATTTGTCAAGTCAACAGATAATTTATTGAGATATATTAATAAAGATGAGCAAATATATAAATATATTGAATCTTTTAAATTTTTTTATAATATTTATTATTGTTTTTTATTATTAATAGTAAACAAAAAAGAAAAGCAAACAAAAAGAAGAAAAATAGAAGAAAATAATAGAGATACCCAGGTCATTATCGATCAGTCGGTTCTTGTCGGGCGGGTTATAATTCCGATGTCACATGGTGACCGGATTCGGTCGGTTAATTTCTGATGAATTCCGATAATTTTCCTTGTTTTCTTATGAAATCTGGTTGCCAGATTCTCCGAGAACCGGTCAGATTTATATTGCCGGAAAATATCAGGTTAGATGATACGATTGGGTCGTATACGACGTGATCCGACAATATCCGGTAGCGAAACTTTACCGGAATCCGCCGTGCCGCATGACGCTCGATTTCATGTAGATCCGGCTTAATCAGTATCACCGGAACCAATCGGATCATATCAGAACGGAACGGTCCTACTAACCGGATTAAGCCACTTACTACAACACAGATCCGAGCGAAACCGTCAGTATGTAATTAACGAATACTAAAGGAACACCTTGTGATTCATTCAGACTGATACTTAACAACTCACACAAACGGTGATACCCATGAATTGAAAATTATAGTCGATCTAATACAATTTTTATGAAAAAACAATAAAAATTAGCAAAATGATCACGTATTTATTTATCCTGACCGAAGTTATCGGCCCCAATGATGTTCACTCAAGTCGTTAATCATAACTCCAACCAATATAACTTGATTCGACGACCATCTCCTGGTCTAACGCGAAATCCAGAGCCATTTATGAATACTCAGGGGGAGATAAATTTGTTACATATCCATACGATGTTACCCGTCGATACGATTCGACCTCATTTAAAACGTCGAACAAACCTGTCCCCTCCGTCTGGTGCCACCGCAAGCATCCTTTCGAATTACCAACAAACTAGTGTACTGCACAGGAGTCGGAATCGGAATCAAAAGAAAAAAAATTTAGGAGTCGGACTTGGAATCGGAATCGTGAAAAAATATTTTCCGGAGTCGGAGTCGGAATGAAAAATAGCACCTGACTCCGAAATTCGATTTCTACTGTGACGAAGCTGAAGTAGTAGAAGATAAAAAAAAATGTTTGTGAGTTAACGTTTGAGCTATATTACAACAAAAATTACATCATCTGACTTTCACTTAGATAGAAGTTTATTCATGAGTATATTGTATAATAAATAAAGATATGCTAATTTAACTTTATAAATAAATCTTAAGCAAAAACAAATGGCACAAGAAAAATATTGACATTAATCATTAATACAAAGAAAAAATAAAATAGACTAATCAAGAATATTCTCTTTATTAAAATCATTGAAAGTATCATCGACATCGATACATAATTGTTTAGGAGCTGTGCAGGTTGATTCTTCAGACGATACTGTTGTTGTCGATGACATTGATGCTGTTCGTTTTCGACGAAAATCACTATTTGATAATTCTTTCAAAGTTTTCATATTCTTTTGTAAAAACAGCATTTGATTAATTTTTTCGCAATCTAAACGTGTTCTTTTTTCTGTAACAACATTTTTCGCTGTTGAAAAGAGACGTTCAATAATAGTATTGGAAGCTGGTATTGCGCAAACCACCTTCGCCATACTTGATAATATTGGAAATGAGGCTTGTTGTTGTCGCCAAAATAATAAAAGATCAATATCATCTGAACTATCATTGTCAGAACTAGTCTGACTAAAATCAGCCGCCAAATAATCATTTATTTCTTGATATGGGTCTGATGATTGAGAAGTAACATTAACTTTCGAATCGAAACATTGTGACCATGGATTTTTTCGTTTCGGTGTTGTATCAGCTGTTGATGTTAATGAAGTTTTTACAGTCGCTTGTACTGAATGTAAATTGTTTTTGAACGATGAAGAATTAATTAATTTATATATTTCAAATTCTTGTTTTAATACATTGATGGATTTCTCTTTTTCACCAATACAACGTTCAAAATTTTTCAATTTTGGATGAAGAACAGTTGCTAAACGATGATAATCAGATATATACCATACATTTTTCATTCGACGTGCTAGAATTGTACAAGAAAAAATGCAGCGGTGGAAAAAACATCTTACACAAAACTTGAAAATTTCCCATTGAGAAGTTTGCTACATATTTAACATGCTTTTTTTCTTACCTAAAAATAATTTCAATTGGACTATTGCCGTTGAATCTCCTTCTTTTACTTCACATTCATTCATCAGATATTGTTTCAGTGGAATAACTCGATGACAACTAGGTTCTTGATCAACACTGAGAGCATCAAGTATCTCTTGAAAGGGTCCAAAAAAGTCGCAAATTTCATCGAGTAATTCTTTGTCAATTAGATTAAAATCATTCATAGTTTTACTATTAATTAATACTTCGGGTAATTGGAAAAAAACCTCTCGAAAAATGTCGAGCATAATCAACGCACCACCAAAACGAGTTTCAGAATAAATTTGTAATTTTCGAGACAGCTTTTGCTGTTGATGTGAACGTCTCACAGAGGAAACGATCTTTTTCACGTGACGAAAGACATTTTGAGCTAATTCACAATCGACTTTTTCAATTATACTTTTATTTAAATGAATTTGGTCAGATTCAAAGGCATGTTGTAATTGTTTATTTAAATAATGATCAGCACAACCAATACGAGTACATTTTTCTCGAAATGCTGATAACATTTTGGGTTCATTATCTGTTACCACAAATTTTGATGAATCAAGTTGAAGTTTAAATTCTTCTAAAATTTTATTAACAAATTCTCGAAGGTGTTGTGCTGAATGACTGATTGCATTGTATGGAAAGCAGCCAAGAATAAACGTGAACAATTGATAATCATCATCAACATATCGTAACGCTATACCACAATAACTAATGCCTAAATAGGTGTAGAAAAAACACTTAGATTGTTGTTGTTATCAGTCAATAAGTAAAATATTTAATATACTAACCCGTATGGGCTTCTGTCCATTGATCGACTATCAAACAAAAATTTGTTAACTTTGTACAAATATCAATCAATTGATTTTTGTATTGTTCATAGAGACGAGTGATATTTCTACTGATCTGAAAATGCATAAGGTCGAGTAATGTAGTTAAAATATTGACAAAATTTATTATTCTTACTGTTGTTGGATGTGGAAGAAAATCTGTTACTTCAATTGATGATTTATTGCTGGCTTGACCAGCATCAAATAATGCTTTTGCTAAATTTTTGAATCCATCACCTTTTATAACTTCGAATGCACGTCCATCAAGAGCACAAAACTCTGTACAAGCTTCTGTAACAGACAATTTAACTTTCAGTGGAATTGGTGATTGTTTTGAAGAAGAATAAAAGTCGTGAACAGTTTTTTGAAAAAGAGATTTTGATTTATCTATGCTTGAGCATGAACTGGCATGTGTACGTAAATTATTAGTACCATTGAATGATGAATGTAGCAATAATGCTTTGCATTTATTGCAAGACACATATTGTTGTCGATCACTATTCACAAAAATAATATGAAAATACTTCCACCATTCACTTGATCTTAATGTTTTTTTCTTCTCAACAAATTTTATTGATGAATCCTTATCTTCAATTAATTGTTCGAGTTCTTGTTTACTAAAATGCTTCTTACTCATGATATTTTTTGCTTTCGGAAACAAACATAAAGAAATGAATTCTAAGACAATGTGCACTGTTCGTTCGTTATTGATTCGTTTACTTATATATCCTGTCAGAATATCAAACAATTGATTTGAATTAGATGTCGCTAAGCTGCGAAAAAAAGTCGGGTTTATTCGGAGTCGGAATCGGATTCCGGAAAAATTTCTCGTCGGAGTCGGAGTTGGAATCGGAATCGAAAAAAAGTTTTTTTTTAGGAATCGGGTCGGGTTTAGGAATTGAAAATTTTTTTTTTTAGGAATCGGGTCGGGTTTAGGAATCAAAAAGTGCGACTCCGCTGATCTCTACAACAAACCCACTTGGGGATACTAGGATATAGATTAAACAAAATAAAAATTAGGCCCTATAACACTATTTCGGCATCGAATGTCACCCAGAATCAAGTTAACCAGGGAACACGTCTCTAGCAACAGTCCAAAATGATAATCAGAACAATTCTGCAATACTTAGTGAATTTTTCGATTTGTCAAAGGTGCGCAGGGGAATGGCTTTGCTCAAAGGTAAGTGTCGTTGGGTCCCGAATGAAAGATGCTTAGAATCCTGTTTCATGACGAAAAGGTAAGTTGGAACCATCGAGAATGATTAACCGAAACATTTCCCATGTCTTAGTGAATTTTTCGATTGGTCAAAGTTGGGCAGGGGACAGGCTTTGCTCAAAGGTAAGTGTCGTTGGGTCCCGAATGAAAGACCCTTAGCATCTTGTTTGACGAGGAAAAGATACTTTGGAACTATCGAGAAAGTTTATCTGAACTATTCTGTCGGACTGTTACAATCTTTTGATTGATGCAAAATGATGCGTGGAGCGATTTTCTATGAATTTTTGGTGAGCACAATGACGCATTGCATAAGTTTTGAATGTAATTAATGAATTAAAACATTAGTGGTCATGATCCAGAATGATATTCAGATGCATGTCCTATTAATTATTAATGTTTTCGATGGGTGTAAAATGATGTCAGGGCGATGTCTTCAAGAAGTGAAATGCAACAAGATCGCGCAGTAAACTGGTTGGTATTGTGTTTAATGAATACGATGTGTAGTAGGTTGGTTTCGGATTATTCTAAGTGTGGACATTAGTGAGCCATAGGTTGTTGTTTTCGGGTTACAATTGTTTTAGGGTGATTGCTGTTTGGAGAAATGTTTGTTGTGCATCCGTTTGAGCGGTGAGGTTTGGATTATGTTTTGATTATTGATCAGGCTTAGTTGTTTCGGTTGTTGTGCGGGTTTTTGAAGACTACAGTTTATTCATGTTTTGGTTAAAGAACGCTTGTATGAGAGATTTTTTATGAGGTCCTTGTCATCGGAATTGGATGGAATCCGGTCAAATATGTGGTGAAGCCGTTGTGAAACCGGCATCATCCGGTAGTCCGAGTGGATCGGTTGCGACAATGTTCGGTCGTATTATCCGGCAGGAAACGACCGGACCATTTTCCTTTGAATTCCGTCGGGATTTCCGGGAGCAAAGATTCCGGCGAAATCCCTGTCGGATCCTGGCAGATTTGAGTGGGAATCATGCCGCTTTCTGGTGTTATCCGGTGCCGGTTCCGACGGGTCCCGACTGAATCCGGAGGCAGGATGGAGTGACTTGGGTAGAGATAATAAGAAAAAAATTCAAGAAAGAAAAGAAATAATAATGGGACAATAAGTTTATTTTAACGCTAGGCCTTTCGAATTTATTCATTATCAAGCGAGTAAATATGAACTGAATCAATACGATGGAGCATCCTATATATATACTCGACCCAATTCATCCATTCATTTATTTCGTTTAATTGGCTTAATCGATCAGACAGACAACTCGTGATAATTGATAACTTGTTCATCAACAGACGGTACACATATATCAATTAGTGACAATTTGGGGGTCAGTCGATTGAATATGACCTTCACTATTGTCAATAAAAATTGTAGATAGATAGATAGATATATATAGTTCAATGATAAAATCACAATCGGTGATACCAAAAAGACTAATACCAACAACAACCATATATGAGTAAAACAAATGCATATAAAGAAATATCTGAGTCTCCATTAAAAGAGATGATAGAAAGAACTGATAAATTCTTACGAAACTTGGTTTCAGATAAAACAAAATGCCGCAATATATAATGGAAAGATTACAACCATCTCAGTCTGAATCAGAACTACCACACTTATATTATAATCCTAACGATCACAAAATAGGAGAACCTTTAAGGCCAATTGTAAGTGGAATAAAATCCCCGTTGGCAAAATTGTCTAGTTTCTTGGACAAAATCATACGTCCTCTGTTCGATAAACATACTGACTATGCGCTTTCTAATTCGAGAACATTTTTGAAATATTTAAAAGAATTTAAAACAACAACAGAAACGAATCTATACATGTTCGATATCACAGATTTGTATACCATGATTCCGCAAAAAGAAGCGGTATTAGCTATACGTGAATTTTTAGGAAGGCATGGATATCAAAAAGTGCAAGCTCTATCAATAAATACGATAAAAAAAATGTTCTTACATGTATTAGAAAATTCCTTTTTTGTACTACAATTACCAGGAATGAAACCAAAATTTTATCAACAAATTCGAGGAGGAGCGATGGGTTCAGCCTGCACTCAAGTGCTTGCTGATGTCTATGTGAAAAAATGGGAAAGTAAATTTGTGGAGCAACAAAAACAACAAGAACAACTATATTTCAGATTTAGAGATGATGTTTTCTTCACCACTACACTACCACCTCAACAAATAGAAAGAAATCTAACAGAATTGAATGAGAAAGATCATAATATAAAGATAACATGGGAAAGTGGTAGGAAGATAGATTACTTAGATGTAACAGTCAATATAGAAATTCCAAATTTCAGAACGACTGTATTCAGAAAACTAGCAGCTCAACCATATGTATTACCTTTTCACTCTTCACATCCGCAGCATGTAACAAGGAACATACCATACGCGGCGGCACATAGAGCCACACGTATATGTTCTCACCCTGAAGACCTAAAAATAGAGCTTGACAAAATTAGAATCATGCTTTTATTGAACAAATACCCCCCAAAATTTATTGACAAACAGACAGGAAGATTTTTTCGAGATACAACAGGTACGCAAACTACAGAGTTACTTTAAGGCAAAGATCACTCGAAATATAGAGAATCAATTTTAGATCCCACGTGGAATAAAAAAGAAAAAAGAAAAATAGATTTTCAGAAAGATATTCTTCTCCATTTTTCATATACTCCATCCATAGCAAACTTCGGATCGCGATTCCACCAGCTATGGGAAGAGATATTCGAAGGAACACCCCTCGATGACATACCAGTTATGTACGCGAATAGACTCACCGACAGTCTTAGACATCTTCTCGTAAAAAAAAGACCCACGAGAGAAGCGATAAACCTCCTACCAACAACCTCTGAAATATAAAGAATAACAAAAATGTTGAAAAACAAAAAACTATTACAACAAATCATTAATAATACAACCATTAATAGAATGTATGTAACATACACATATAGAGATAATCATCATATAAATGATGATCTCTCGTATTCATCGCAAATGATTAATATAAACAATTTTTCCTTTTATTTATTTATTTTCCCCTATGGATGATTATTACATATATCATCTGAATATTTGAAATTTTCCTTTATTAAAATTTCTCGTTTTTTATTATAGATGATTATTATTTAGACGAATAAAAGAATTATTTAGATGAATAAAAGAATGTTTTTTCTCGAATGTAGAACATTCTACATTTACTCGCTTGATAACGAATAAATTCGAAAGGCCTAGCGTTAAAATAAATTTATTCTCCCATTATTATTTCTTTTCTTTCTTGAATCTTTTTCTTATTATCTCTATCTCTATTATTTTCTTCTATTTTTCTTCTTTTTGTTTGCTTTTCTTTTTTGTTTACTATTAATAATTAAAAACAATAATAAATATTATAAAAAAATTTAAAAAATTCAATATATTTATATATTTGCTCATCTTTATTAATATATCTCAATAAATTATCTGTTGACTTGACAAATTTAAAGAATTGTTATATATATACATATTCGTCGAACCATAACCAAGAATATACGTTCGCTCAAAGAGTCAACATGAATGGAAATTTTACTACTTCAAATATGAATAATCATCCTACTCGTATGTTTACACCTCATCCATTAGAAAAAACATCATCTAATATCAATTTGTGTCCAAATATAAATCCAAAGTACAGCCTTCATGGTGCTGCACAACGTAAATATAATCATCCATATAAGAAATTTCAAACCGGCTCTACCACTACATTCTCCGGCTATACCAATATATCGAATTATAGAAATTTTAATCATTATGAAAATAATGGCAACATTGAAACCTTAAATAACATCAATAAGAACAATAATAAATTAATGTCCAATAATATAAAAGTACCTAATCTCATGTCAATTGATTATTTTAAACAACCATCCAGGAAGAATCGTCGAAGTTTATATCTTGCTCAACAATATTATGATCATGATCAAGCTCAAACAACTTATCAAAATGATTTTCGTACAGTATTACCAACAACAACAAGAGCAATAATATCATCATCAAATCAACTTAAAGCATTAATTCTGTCGGATTCTATGTGCAAATATGTTCGTGTAGATCAAATCAGTCCACCTGGGATGAAAGTTAATGTATCATTTGAATCCGGCTGCAACTGCAATCGAATGCTTGAATTTTTAGAGAAAGAAAATGTTGAACAAAGTTCTATATTTAATGTTGACTTTGTTGTTTTTTCTTTATGTACAAATGATGTTGCTTACTTGGAATTAAATCAAGTTATTCAGCATTGTCGTTATGTAATACAACGAACAAGACAATTATTTCCACAAATAAAAGCTATCGGATGGCTCACTCTCTCACCACGATCAAAGCCATCAAAATTATATAATTCTTCAAGCATTGATGAAATTAATAAAAAATTCAATGAACTATTACAAGTATTATCCAAGCAAATGAATTTCGAACTTATCAATGCAAATCTTCAACATCAACATATGCATCACGATGGTCTTCATCCATCTATGCAGTCAGGTCGTATGCTTTTTGAAAGAGCATTGTATAATTGGCTTTTCAAAAAAACAAAAACTTTTACTCTTGGTTTAAATGCTGACAATAATAAAACCAAGAATAATAATGATATACGTCTAATAACAAATACAAATTATAATATTCATCAACAGCATCGATTAAATAATGATAAAATAATGATAAAATAATCAACCACCAACAATAAAACCAAAAATTCAATTCTACAACAACCAAAACAACAACAACAAACAAAATAATAATAATAATAATGATAAACTTGATTATGCACAAAAACCATATCAAAGAAAGCAACAACAACAACATCAACAACAACAGCAACAAAAACCTCAATGGCAACAAGAACAAAAACACAACAATCAAATAAATAATCGATATTCATTCAAACCAAAATCGAATCATGCATCGCGTAACGTATTAATCTCTAATTATCCTCATTTCTTAAGACATAAAAAAGAGTTTTTTCGAAAAATCATAATACCAACAGAACTAGAAAAGGAAAAAGAAAATATTTTCCTATTGAGTAATCTACATTATGAAACAGAATATTTTAAATCTGAATCAGAAAAATGGAAAATCTATCTAACAGCAGCAGCAAGAAATAAAATGCAATCGAATAAAGAAACAAATCAAATAGAAACCATTATCATAGATAATGATAATAGTCTGCCGATTGCACGACCATCGCCGAATGGTCTAGCAGGGCTACCTGCACCACTTGATCTCAGTGAGTTCTCAGAAATGTTTGATGAATGGTTACCTGAACCAATACCAGGACAAAAACGAAAAATAGGACATCGAAGAGATGATCCACCAACACCTCCATCACCGAGACTACCTCCGCCAATTATTCCTAGAAGAGCATTACCACCAAGAAACAGTAATGTTCCTATAAAAGGAGGATCGTTACGATCATCACCAATATTAAATGATGATGAGAAAATGCTGATTTCTCAGCAGCAAAGATCATGCAATGCTCTATTGCCAAAAGAACAAGAAAAACAAGATGAAAAAGAGAAAAAAGAACAACTAAAAATTCAATCATCTATAACGATTGTAGCTAAAGAATGTTCAATGGTAATATCACCATTGCAAAGCTCAACACCAGAAAAAAATGAAAAAATAATGAAATCACCATCAGTGATACCAAAAAATGGTATAATAAGAACAGCAACAATAATAATGAGTGAATCATTTGATTTTGCAATCATACCAATAGAATGCAAATATCATTTTAAAAGAACGAAACAAAAATGTACGTATGAAACAATAAAAATCCATCAAGAATTTCTAGAAAATAAATATAAACAATTAGAGAATGAGAGAGAAGAAAAATTGCAAGCATCATTCGATCAATATATACGAGCAAAAGTAGTTTCTTTGATAAGAACTGCTATCGAAAAGCAAATCGAGAATAAGAAAAATAATGATCAAAGAAGATTAGATAATCTTCTACTTGATCAAATGCGAGAAAGAGCTGCACGCGAAATAAAACATATAGGAACATCAAAAGAACAACAATGCATACAAATTTTGCATGAAAAATTCATGAGAACATTAGATCTAAAACTACAATATGATAAACTTGAAAAACGATTTCTAGAAAATATGCCACCACCATCTCTCAATGTTTTCGATAAAATAGAACTGCATGCGAAAGGACTTAAACAAGATAATACATATTTTAGTTCACTTCGTGAGCAATGGAAAAATGTCCTTAGAAAAACAAAACTAGATCTTACAATATTAATGAGGCAAGCGAAACTAACTGAACTAGAACAAGAAAAAAATGAATATAAAGAACTATTAGAAAAATATTCACTTTCAATTTCTCTACGAGAATCATATGAAACACTAAAACATGTATCAGAAACAAGACATCATCAATTCGCAAAAAAGAAATTGAATTTTTTAGCAAAAAGGGCGTACACAATGAACGAAAATTAGTGTACGCCCTATCCCATCATCATCCCGGTTATCCCAAATCGAAACTACACCCACATTTCAGTCGCATAAATTTTCCGCCTCAAGCTAATAATAAAGCCTTTCTATTGCAAAATGCAGAAGCTCGAGTGCTGAATTTAGGACCAAAATTTGTTCCGCCAGCACCTCAACAAGTTCTAGAACGTCTTCCGAAAGAAATAGACGTTATGAAAGAAAAAATAGCAGCAGCGTGGAGAAGAGCAACTGGAACACTAGGGAGAGAACCACCAATAGTTACAAAATTCTGTGAGCGTATTGAAGGAGAAATACGAAAAACAGTTGAAACAGAAAATATAAAAGATCAAAATTTAAAACCTACGATATCTTTTTTTCAAAAAATACAGAAACAGAAAAAAGTAATCTTTCGACAAACAGACAAATCTAAAGTTTTTCACGTAGATACTCCTAACAATTACATACAGAAATCGATCGCATATATGAGTAAAACAAACGCATATAAAGAAATATCTGAGTCTCCAATAAAAGAGATGATAGAAAGAACTGATAAATTCTTACGAAACTTGGTTTCAGATAAAAAAATGCCGCAATATATAATGGAAAGATTACGACCATCTCAGTCTGAATCAGAACTACCACACTTATATTATAATCCTAAAGATCACAAAATAGGAGAACCTTTAAGGCCAATTGTAAGTGGAATAAAATCCCCGTTGGCAAAATTGTCTAGTTTTTTGGACAAAATCATACGTCCTCTGTTCGATAAACATACTGACTATGCACTTTCTAATTCGATAACATTTTTGAAATATTTAAAAGAATTTAAAACAACAACAGAAACGAATCTATACACGTTCGATATCACAGATTTGTATACCATGATTCCGCAAAAAGAAGCGGTATTAGCTATATGTGAATTTTTAGGAAGGCATGGATATAAAAAAGTGCAAGGTCTATCAATAAATACGATAAAAAATATGTTCTTACATGTATTAGAAAATTCCTTTTTTGTACTACAATTACCAGGAATGAAACCAAAATTTTATCAACAAATTCGAGGAGGGGCGATGGGTTCAGCCTGCACTCAAGTGCTTGCTGATGTCTATGTGAAAAAATGGGAAAGTAAATTTGTGGAGCAACAAAAACAACAAGAGCAACTATATTTCAGATTTAGAGATGATGTTTTCTTCACCACTACACTACCACCTCAACAAATAGAAAGAAATCTAACAGAATTGAATGAGAAAGATCATAATATAAAGATAACATGGGAAA